GCTTACAAATTTCATTTTATTCGACTTTACTTAACTTTTCCGCCTCTATCTTATCGCACCACGAATTTACAATTAAGGGAAAAACAAATCGAAGATGTTGAGTGCGTCTATATCTATGCGGTTGTAGGTGTACGTCGTACGATTGCGTACAGAATAATAGGGCTTAAAACACATTTCGAAATATCGAATAATTGCTTAAGCAACCATTTTCACTGTCACATTAATTATTATTATTTTCAATAGTATAATAAATAAAAAACTATAGTTTTCACCGCTTCTGTGGCTAGCAACTCATTTTTCTCCATCAAAAACGTATTCAAAGACGAACGTTTATATTGGCTAGGTATTTATTTAGCCAGCAGTTTTTATTAGCCAGATGTGGCCATATATAGTATACATACATCTGTACATACATATATGTATCTGAAGCATACGTGAATGGCACTTGACATTTGCTAACTACTTTTTGGCCTGCCTCCTCTCGTCATTTCTATTTTGAAAACGTCAATTGCAACCGCCGTCTATATATCTGTATCTCTATCTGTATCTGTATCTGTATCCATAGTTTTGCCATACACTTTGTATCTGTATCTGTTGCTGTACCTCGAGATGATTGCCTGACTGACTTCGCCTGACCTTTCGACGTTGCCACACGTCTTAGTCTTGCATTTTGCAATTCCCATTTCCAATTTGTGCAACTCATATTGCAAACTATTCGCTCGCTAGTGATGGCAAAAATAATGAAATGCGATATTACTCGCAATTAATGCCAAAACAAAGAGCTATATTTAACAATTTCGTACTGTCTTGTATTGCGGGCAACAAAGTGGGCCAAAAATTCAAGTCAACAATATGCGGGCCAAGAAAATATGATACAAATACGAGCGTAACGAATATCTGCGACTGACTGAAAGTAATCCGGGTCAGTTGGGAATTTGTGGAATGGCTACGGATGGATGTGCGTAGACCAGGTAAACGAACGTGCACAGTTAATAATGTGTGAAAGAATACAAATGAACCGTTTAAGCACCGCGGCGGAAAAAAAGATACAAAATTATACGAACACCGCTCCCACAATCATTGTAGTTTTTTTTTTTTCCATAGTTGATTATGTTGCGACCATGTGGGCGGGAAAATGGGTTGGGTTCGCTTCGGTTTGGTTTGGCTGGGTTTTGGTTATTAAGCCATTAACACACAGGGCAATGCTAATTAACTTCGCATTCGAAATAATATTTTAATTGCCTGCAATTGGTGCGTAAAATTGAATTTACAAACTGAAGTTAACTGGGGATAATTGCGTACGCGTACGCCTCGTTATCATATTTATCACTTCTTCTAAATGTGTATTTGGCAAGTGTTGAACCGTAACCATAGTCATGAGGTACATCAAAATAGAGATAACCATACTCATAGATACCTTTCCTTATTCACACTTAGAAAACTGAGTTTTTGTGGCTTCGCAATGGAGTTTGGAGAATGCCAAACTTCTCGGCATCGTTGTTGTTTTGGTGTATTGGTGTGCTGATTGGTGTATTCATAGTTTCTGGGCTGTAGTGGCAATTGTGTGAAAACAGCAGTGCAGGCAGGCTTATCTAACGAATACAAATATGCACAGTCCCATATAAACGCACATTAATTGCCTGGCGTTGGGGCTTATTTGAAGTTAAGCCGGCTGTCGACGCCAGCAGAAACGGCAACAGAAATGGAAAAAAATAAAAACAAAAATATATATGGACAGCAAATGAAAAAGGCTGGCAACGGCAATCAACAAGTAAACTTCACACACCGCACGCCTGATGACATCATCGTCATCATTTGTGTGATGTGTTTGGCTTTAGCTGCTTCTCAGCTGCAGCAATGCCATCGATCTACAGTGGACACCGGCTAAGCGGATTTTGCGTAGATGCAGTGCGAAAAATGTGCGAATTTTAAGAGACACTTGAGCATAGTATACATCAAATAACTAAAAACACGACAAGAATAATGTTCAAAGGAACAAAACAATGAGTGCTTTGTGTAATCACGGAATTAAAATTCAGTTAAATTTACTAACCGTTTTCACAGCCACAATCATATAAGCATATAATAAGCATAAGTATAATAAATCATATCCGGCTTTTGTTTTGCTTTAAAGCCACGGGAAGCTTTAAATAAATACATATAAATCACGTAAATAGTCGGAGTGTGCAAAACATTCTTAAGCTGTTATCTTCAGCTGATATTGCTGGAATGCAGATGGAAAGGCTTGGATGGACTAGCCAATACTCACTGTAGCCTGTGGCGCTGACATTGCCTTGCCGTTTGCCAGGTCTCACTATTTATCTTTCTATCTGTGTAGCTACAAATGTATCTGCCTATCCGCCACTGGCCTTGGCAATGCAGCGATGCAGAATTCTCGTCTGGCTTGGCCAGTGTCCGGTCGTCCACTCGGCGTTTGGCGTCCGTCTTCTCTTGCCTTGTCTTTGGGTCGCTTCCGGTCCCTAAAAAAAAAAAAAATAAATAAAAATGTGGCAGCAAACAAACCTTAGTGGCCCATCACGCGACGCTGAGCTGGTGAAGAACGCAGAACGTTTATGGTTATGATGATGATGATGTCACATGATCATAATGGAAAACTATGTTGTCTTATTGCGTTAAATTTCTGTTTGATTTATTTATCAGTAATTGCCGGCACGCGATGTGCCATTATGTGTTCATTAATCGGACAGAAGACAATCTCCAATCGCTGGAAAAAATGCCCACTCCCCGGAATGTGTGACCCACATTAACACTTGATGGTATCGCCGAAAACACCACTTATCGAATTGCCCAAGCAAACATATTCGGCTGCAGACATTCGCAATTGATAAAACCAAAAACAAAAAACAACTCATGTTTTCTCCAAATTGAGGCACTAATTTGGTTATTTTCCGCTTCGATTCGCAGGCCTCAACCATCGATGGCAGGCGGAAGGGCGCCTGTTTGTTCTGCCAGGAGTACTTCATGGACCTGTATCTGCTGGCCGAACTGAAGACGATCAGCCTGAAGGTGACAACGGTGGATATGCAGAAGCCGCCGCCCGACTTCCGCACCAATTTCGAGGCCACACACCCACCCATCCTTATCGACAATGGGCTGGCCATTCTGGAGAACGAGAAGATCGAGCGGCACATCATGAAGAACATACCGGGCGGCTACAATCTCTTCGTCCAGGACAAGGAGGTGGCCACCCTGATCGAGAACCTGTACGTCAAGTTGAAGCTGATGCTGGTGAAGAAGGACGAGGCCAAGAACAACGCCCTGCTCTCGCATCTGCGCAAGATCAACGATCACCTGTCCACGCGCAACACGCGTTTCCTCACCGGCGACACCATGTGCTGCTTCGACTGTGAGCTGATGCCGCGCCTGCAGCACATCCGTGTGGCGGGCAAGTACTTCGTCGACTTTGAAATCCCGGTAAGCATTCGTGTCCATGGTATTCTGGATCCTATATCTACACCACAGCAGGAGAGACACTTTCGATATGCAAATAATACTGTATATTATCTTATTTGCAAGTAAATTAGGCATGGCAGCTTTTATTGATAGGGTCTTTATTTGCGAATAGACAGCGTGGAACAAATATTGACTTGCTGGCTTTGTGACTTTTTGCTAAAATTATTTAATACCACAAGAATGGAACCGATGACTTGTATTGCAATACAGATTTTTAAGGCTATTGCATTGTATAACTATGGTTGTGAATGGCACTGTGCTGCAGTCACTAGCCATAAACAGGTTTTAAATCCATTTCGCTAATGCCGCTCGAAGTCCAATTAAAGCCATCAGTTCCAGAATGGAGTGCGCTTATATAAAAAGACCACAATGACTCACCGTTCTCATCGTTCCGACTCCTTGCAGACGCACTTGACGGCACTGTGGCGCTACATGTATCACATGTACCAGCTGGACGCCTTCACACAATCGTGCCCGGCCGACCAGGACATTATCAATCACTACAAGCTGCAACAGGTGCGTACCATGGCATTGTGACTCATGAACTGGGCTCCAACTGAAATGCTCTATTGTCATTTGCAGAGTCTCAAAATGAAGAAGCACGAGGAGCTGGAGACGCCCACGTTTACCACATACATTCCAATTGATATTTCGGAGTAGGTTTCCTATGGAGCAGAGCCATGCAGCCACACATCAACTAGTAGTATACAGCAACCACAATATTTTGGACAACTTTACAACAGCAGCAACTCTGAGGACTATACATAGATGTATACTTAACGGATATAACTACCCATGCATATATTATAATATATATATATACCTACTATATATAACGAGTACATAACAAGCATAACAAGTGTTCTTTAAGCAGCCGCGTTGCCTTTCTTCAGCTATGCTTAATTTAAACCCCATTTCAAAAACACCAGCCACAATCAATCGATAAGGCTTTGACTTACTTGGCCCGCCTGCATGTTTGTTTGCTTAATTAATATTAAAACATTTGTGTTTGACATACAGATGTCCAGGCAAACGCATGAATATATTACGTAGCTCGCTGTCAATTAAAATGTGTCGATCGCCTGAAGGAACGCTTCTCGTGCCTTCAAAATGTTTATTTTATTTTAGATTTTTTATTCAGCAAGGAGCTTTTTTGTCGTATTCGAAGATACTTTTTTTTTATTTTGCAAATTTATGATTTTTATTTTTTTTTTGGCTCCCTGGCGAAAGTTTGCCATTTTGTTCGCTTTTAATTTTTATTTAAATACTTTATTTTATCATAACAAGAAAAACAAAACAAAAAAAAAAAAATTAGAGGAGGAAATGAAGAGTATTTTTTGTATTTAAGTGCAAATTACAAATAAAAAACACAAAAAGACAAATATTGCCTTTTACTTACACAGGAAGTTAACATGTACTTACTCTTTGAATAATATTTATGCAAATATTTTGGAATACCACAGAAATAAAGCATTAAATGACGTCTTCCAACTATGAACTTTAGCTCGAATTAAGAGCTCCTTGATTTCAACATAATGGTCAACAGTTTTATTATAAATCTCGCTGATAATCAACAATTAACGCCTACACTAAAACAAAGAACACCATCAGAATTGGTCAATTGCTGAGCACATAAGGACCGATCACAGTACCACATTAGTGATAGCCTGAGTAGGATTGCGGTCGGCGGATCGCGTCAGGTGCGCATCGAGGGATCCGAGGAGGAGTGCTCGCGATGATGCGGCATCCTGGGCGGTAGTTTAAAGGGCCGAATGAACTTGATGTTCGTCTTGAGGCAATCGGGCAGCAAACTGGGGGGCAGCAGGCAGTGCAGGAAGAGGTGCGTGAGGTAGCCGGTGATGCCCCAGATGCGATAATGGTCCACAACAAATACGGGACCGCTGTAGCCGCTGCGAAACTGTGTGTGCCTGGTGGCCTTGGGCAGCATCAGCGAATTGAGCGGCACACTAAACGCCTCCTCCACCTCCTCCCAATTAAGACGCAGCTCGGAGAGGCTAAAGTCAGGCACGACGCCCACCACTGGCACGATGGCCGAGGTCCTCGGCAGTTGCAGCTGCTTGGCCTCGCCCCACACCTGGATGCGGTCTCGTGGTAGGCCGATCTCCTCCTCCGTCTCGCGCAGCGCACAATCCACGTAGCTGGAGTCGTGTTTATCGCGCCTTCCGCCCGGAAAGGAGATCTGAAAGCTATGGCTGCGCATGTGTCGCGATCGTCGGGTGTACAGTAGGGATACCTCATTTCTGAAAGTACAAATCGATGCAGCTTATTCAAATGATTCGATTCCTTGTTTAATCCTATACACACGTGCCACGCTCCTGGCAGAGGGCGATGAGGACCGCGGATGTCTGCTTCTCCCGGCGACTGGGCGTCAGGGCCTTGGGACGCGGGAATTCTGGCAGGCTGCGCATCTTCTCCATGCACCTGCGCTGCGATTCCGGTCCGAGGAGCTGGGCAGGAGTGGTTAACTGGCCGACATCTGGCGGTTCCGACGACGTGGCGAATGCGCTGCTTGGGCAGGAAGTGACCAGATGACGGTTCAAGTGCAACAGGAGCTGCGGCACAGTGCGACTCGCCTGGGCGATCAGGGACATCGTTTTTGGGTATGGAACACCGAAAGTCGACCGAAAAGCAGTGATGTAAACAAATGCGAATGAAACGAACTTTGGAATTGGACAAAAACCAAAACAGAGCAGTTGACAGCCGATAGTGGGCTGTTGTGCGCCAAAGTGCGCTGTAAACGGTTAACAGTGCTGTAAACTCAGCCGCTTTCAAAATACCCTATTCCAACCAAACAACTAACCGCTACACTTGAAACTGATATCGACATTGAAATTGATGTTTTTTTGTTTTCTTTGCCAAGGGTAAGGAATTAATTTCATTATTTGCTCGGAATTTCTGTATCGAAAGTGGATTCGGATAGTATAATTTTCTATAAGGATAATTAGCTATTATATATGGCATTAAAGAGTATTCATTTTTTAAAACGTTTTATTAAAATTTCTCGTCGCTTGGGGCTTGGCTGCACAAAAAAATATATATTTATATATATATAAATATACATATTGCATTTAGTTAATAGTAAACGCTCGTGTGTTAATGCTAAATGTTGTTCCTTAGGTAATCGGTATGCAAAATGTTAGATTCCTTGTGAGTTCCTTTAATTTGTAATCAACTGGTTTTTTTTTTTTGTATCGCTTGTGTGAAAGCAATGGCAACGGCATAATTGTCGACTTTGGGCTGAAATCGCACGTGAAATCCAGGTGAAGGTACTGCTTACAACTTACAACTATTAAACGTTACTTTCGTTATTGCCGGCAGCCTGTTGTTTGGCTGCCAATCCTCCGGCGGCCACGCGGGTGCGGGTAAATTTACTAATGGACGTGGGCGATGCGGAAGCGGAGCTGGCAGCAGCGGCAGCAGCGTCCAAACGGAGACTATTCCCGGCCGGATAGACACAGCCCTTGGCCCGACGACGTCCCGCCGGAGAGCCGGAACTCCAATCACCGATTTGTACTAGGCTGGGCAGATCCTCGCCCCTGGAGAAGACAAACTCCTCGGACGAGAGCCGTTTCCTCACCCTGCCACCAACCACATCCGGTCGCTTGCCATTGCTAAGCGGCGATGGTGAGGCTGGTGCCACCAGTGCCGGTGTTTCCGTCGTGCTGCCACCGCCGAGAACGGGAAAGTGCGACTCCAGCACGCCGGGTCGCATCAGTATCTCCTCCAAGTGGGGGCCAGAGCCCCCAGTACCACCGTTCTGCCGGGCCGGTGTGGCAAACTGTTCCAGCGATGAGCTGGCACTGTAGAAACTGGTGTCTGTGGAGCCCAGTCCCATGGCGGCACCACCAGATCCGCCGGATATCTCTGTGCCGCACTTCCCGTGCTCCGAGCGGGTGCAGCAGCCACGCTGGACATCCCGATCACAGGGACAGTGTGGACACAGTCGCAGGCAGTCCGCGTCCGTCAGGATATCGCTATCGCTGAAAGTCAACTTCTTGGCCGGCTGCGTTTGTCTCGTCGCACCGGGATCCCCGTCCAGCGGATCGGCGGACTTGGAACTCTGCACCGCATTGGCACCGTGCGGCAGCTGCAATCTCTGCAGGCTGTGGGCCGACGCAGACTCAAAGCTATCGTCGCTGGAGTCCAGACTGTGAGTCGCTGGCGATTGATCCGGAAAGATGCGCGGAAAGGTGATGAACACACGACCCAGCCGTTTGTACTGATCCAGATTTCTGGTGTCCTCTGCACAGCCCGCCAGATTCTCGCTGAACTTGGGCGCCCGCCTCATAACCTTGGGCGTATGCAGCTGCGACTCGAAGATGTCCTCGAGTGGGACTTTCGGACCGCTCACGCCCACGCCCATGTGCTGCAGATAGCGCTCAATGCTGTTGGCCAGGCTAATGGGGACGCTGGTTCGTGAGGAGACGCTAGAGATCTCGGACAGCGTTTCGGGACTGGCCAGTGGGGCCAGGCCATACCAGTCGTCGTGCAGAAGGTCCACACCAGGTACCGCACTCGCATCCGAAGCTCTACGAAGCGCCTGGACTTGGGCAAGCGGCAGAGAACGTGGCTTTTTCTCGGAGTGTTGGCGCCCGAGCAGGGATATCTCCGGCAGCGTTGGCGGCGGAGTGAGGGCCATATCAAAGGCCACCGCCTTGAGACGTGGTGGTATGGCAATCTCCTCCGTATCCGGTTCCGGATTAACAATCACAGTGGCCGTCGTCTCAGCGCTGATCAGCGAGGGACTCTGCCGCAGCGCCATTGTGGCCAGGCTGTCGTCCAGAGCACTTGATATGTCATACGGCGTGGTTGCCGAGCTCAGGAGCGATGAGGCCGCCGACGCTAGCCGCTGATTCGGCTGCACACCGGGCTGGTGTGGAGCCGATCCGTTGGTGAAGGACGTCTCCAGGCAGAGCTTGTGCTGAGCGGTCGGCGTTAGGACGAGGCAGTTGCTCAGGTTCGTGTAGGAACTTTGCGAGGGCCGCTTGCAGTGCTGCGACTGCGACATCGAGTTCTGCATCTGGCCGGGATCCGTTCGCGGCTCGAATCTCATGGCATCCGTCGGCGCACTGTGGCCGCTGCAATGCGGCGGCTCCAGGTCCGTGTCGTGTGCTGCCTCGTTCGATCCAGTGGAGAATGCATTCGAGGTCTGGCGCTGGGGCTTGCGTGGCCCACTCGTTGTTACAACCTAAAGACGAGTAGCGAGAGTGTTGGGGATCAGTGTTTGATTGTACGTGATCATTTAACTTAGATGTAAGTTGTGGTCCTACTGAAATGTTAAACCGATTGATTGATTGATTGATAGGTCTGTTTTCGTAAATATACATAATTGCTTTTGCTAATTGGTTGGCATTTTTACCCTTTTCTTGACTGCAGTTATTGGGAATATTAAATATTTGATTTTTTTTTTATAATCTATTATCGAAACAGATCAAGCAATCAATTAATCCTGATCTTCACAACTGGTAGTTACATATAAATGCAGAAAGAGACGAGTAGATGTTGCGAGCGAGAGTGGGATGCATGTATGTACAGTTTCACAGATGAGCGAGAGTGGAAAGTGACAGTAGCAGATGCAGTTAGCGAGTGACTTAGTACAGTTGCGTCAAAGTTAAGCGAGTAGGATGTGGGTCAAATTGCTCATGGTTCGATAGTTCGGTGTGGTGAGGTGTGGTTTCAGGGTGGGTGGGAGCTTACGAGTGCGAGACACAATATCGATATTGGTTATCGTTGTACATACACAGCGAGTACGATTACATTTATAGAGTTTAGTTTACAAAATTGGATAGGTTGTTGGTTTTTATTTTGTTTTAGGTTAGGTTGAGAGCGGGAGAGAGAAATATACATAGAGAGAGATAGAGAGAGAGACTTGTAATTCGGTTGACATATTTAAAAATTTTGTTTGGTTTTAACGAGAGCAAAATGGAAAGTTGGTTTAGTCTTTTGTTTAATGATAACAAATTTATATAGAAGGCGGGCGGCTGTACCTGGTATCTGTATTTTGTGTTGTCGTAGTTGTTGTTGTTGTAACTGTTGTAGTTATTGTCGTGTTATCATTACGTCTACGAGAGGTACATGCCTTTACGGTTCGATCTCTACAAGACACGACCTGTGCACATCATCGGATGATCGCGTCACATACAAATCGGTTAAATCGGTATTCGTTTATCAGTTATCGATAATCGTTACGTTCCATAAAAGAAGCAAAACAAAAGCATAATTAAATACATCAGTGATTACAGAAGTTCGTCGCATATACGGGCTATGATCCGAATCGGATCGTTTAGGGTCGGGAAGGGTTGAGAAATCGCTCATTGGGTTATCCTATAGCCTGATCCACTACTCTCTCATTGCAACTAGCACACCTACGGGACCGGGTCTTCTCCCAGCTCAGCAAAGGCAATACGTTTCATCTACCATATTTGTATTGGTTTTGCCATTCCTTAAGCTTTACAACAACCATTCCCATGCAGCAGATATTTTTAAAAAGAGTTGTGTACAGGTAGTATGATAGGGTATGTTGTGTCTGTGTAGTCAAAGCATAAAAGTTAAACTGAAAAACTTACCAAATGAAATCCATATAAAGAACTCAAATGAAATCATCATCAAACGTGTGGGTATATCGGCTTTTCAAAACCAATAATATACTTTTTTTCCAACTAGCGGAGCCATTTTTTGAACATCTTTAATCCACCGAAATCGGGATTAACTGGACATTCTGTTTAACAGGGCTACTTACAAGATGTGCAAATACATAAATATTCACCATTACCGATTTCAAAAGTATTATAAAGCATACATTAAATTAAACAATTAATCATATTTAAGCACTTGTACACTACAAGTGTGTATATTCTTAATATAAAAAACAAACAGTTTCCGCTTTAAAGTGAAAATATATAAGAGATATTTGGAGAGCGTGATGGAAACACGGAGATTTTGAAAACGAAATGCAAATTACATCTGTTCAACTTAAACATTAAATGGACAAGCTTTAATAAAGCCATTGAAACAAAATACAAGTATATAAATATAAATTTAACTTAGGCATAGGTGTAAACATTCAAAGTCCATTGTCAATGCCTAACACAGCGATAAATACATTAGAGTTACTGGATTTTGGTTATACGTGTGTAGTGCTGGCTAAGTATCGGTTCCATTCTCTGGACATATTAAAGCAAAATGTTGTAGATATGAGAAACAAAAGGGCAATAAATAAATATAAACAAATCAATGTCGAACAATTTAGCATTATTGAAATTATAAACGATAGTTGGCCTTAGACTAGATAACGTTAAACGTAATTGAGTTTACATATAGATAAATAGGCATCGGTGTACATATGCTTGTCATGACTGTGTGGGTGGTATTCGCGTACGAGTGGTTCTTGTGGTTGTGAGTTTTGGTTGGTTTGTGGCTTGTGGTCATGGGTTTTGCGAACTTCGGATTCCGCATTGCGGTTCGCCGTTCGCGACCTCTGACCTTAAGGCTAGACTAAGGGCAAGGTACAGTACAGTACAGAACAGGACAGTAGACGAATCGACTAACTAGATCGGTGCTGCGTACTCTAGATATGCTATTGGGCTATAGTTAGACTATATACGGTTCTAGGACAACGACGAAGACGACGGGGGGTGTAGGGTGTCAACGATCAATCATTCCATATTCAACTCGATTCCATTGCCGTCCGTCCATTCGACCGGATCTGATCAA